ACCTCTCGGATATCCAGTGACTGGTGCGATGACGACTGATAGTGCCACAAGCAGATGCTCCTGCGTCGTGCATAGCGGCCGAGATCCTATTCCACTGAAGTTCAGTGTCATTAGGACAAGACAGCGAGAGTTCGCTATGCAGTGCTTCTTGATAGGCTTGCCTGACAGAAGGCCGGGACAATTTCTCCGTTGCCAATCGGGGGAGACGCTTTGTGCGCCTTCCGGTAAAGTTCATGGAGAAACGACAGCGCACCAAGGCATGGTCAGAGTCGACACAGGTACTCCAGTATGAGCGGCAATCCAGAATGGAACCGCGCCACCTGTAACTTATGGCTATGTGGTCAATTTGGGTCCATCGCTGACCAGCTACAGGTGGGCGCCAAGTGGCACTTCGGCGCCCACTGTGTCTAAAAGCAGTGCTAGTAAGAAACAACTGGTGCTCCGCACACAGTTGCAGCAGACGCTCGCCGTTGTCAGTCCGTTCGGCGTTAAGTCCATACTTACCACCCAGCTGAGCTTCTGAAGAGCTCAGACGCCCTACTTGTGCGTTCATATCCCCTGCAAGTACTACAATATCTGAACTAGTAGCACTGCGTAGCAGCGTGTTCAGTTCGTGATAGAAAGTGTCCTTGACTGCATTAGAACTGCAGTCCGTGGGAGCATAAGCAGAAATCACAAACAAACAGCGTTTTGTTTTACTTCGCGAATTCACCTTAGCTGATGTAGTCAAACGGGCTGCACATAAACGGCTGTTCACCGGAATCCAATCAACCAACGATGACTCAGCCTTGGAGCTGAGAATGATACCTACACCAGCTTGACCCGTGAGTGCCGCATCGGCGTCTCCGGATGCGTGCAACCAATAACAAGAGGATAAGCCGGGTGCAGTCAATTCAATAACCCCGTTAGGGTCATTAATCCTAGTTTCGGACACACAACACACATCAACACCCAGTGTGTCCAAGGTGCGTGCGAGTGCAGCCTGCTGACCTGTTTGTCTTAGAGTGCGGACGTTGAATGTCGCCATGGAAACGGGACAGCGTGGCCTTATAAGGAACTTTTGCCGATAGGCGTCCGATAGGTGCTGTGGGATGGTGGCTGCAGATGGTTCTACTCCAGTAGCACGTCGGTTGCTGTCAATTAAGCTGGGAATTATAGAAGGAAGGTTAGTAATGGGGGCCGGGATGGGAGTAAGAGAAAAAGGTGGAAAAGAAAGAAGGGAGGCGCCAGCAGTAGCATGCTTTCGCTTATCCGCCCTGCTGTATGCAGCAGATAAGGCGACCCTTGATAATCTGCGCGACGGCCGATGCAGGATGAAATTTATGTTTGAAGAAAATGTCATGGTTGTATGTGGGCTGGGATACTGCCAGGGCGCCCAGACCTAGACAGGAGAACGATTAGGGTCCTCATCCAAAGCCTTTGGCTCAAAAGCCTGTCCGCAAGGCAGCGGGGAGGTGGCAATGATTTAGTTTTACAGAAATGGACGCCATCCCATTTCAAACCCCCAACCTGGAGGACCAGGAGACTGAGTTTGTCTGACCTCTCACCATTGACCAACCTGGTAGGAGTAGCTCTCAAGATGCTCGGAGGTATCACCCAGTATAGCTCAATGGGTCAATGAGGTACGCAAACCGTCGCACCACGTTAAGGTCCAGTCTCGTTGCGACGGTCGTGCTCCATTACCTATGATTCAATAATATTGACAAGAGTTGCAATGCCTAACCTCATTCTCAGCTGAGCTGCCATCACGTGCGCACATTCACGTGGCAGTTTTGGTTGCTTATTCGGATTTCGCTGCGTAGCCAGCGAGACACACAGAGATAAGCATCGATCGCTACAACGCCTACGGTTGGCCATGACCTTCAGCACTCAGCGCGAAGTTAGCTGACAGCTAGCAAACGCTGGAAACACGTTGTGGCTGTCTGTAGTCATCTCGCTTGATGATCAACAGACTCATGTCGGTGTGTCTTTAAAGGTTACGCTTTTTTCAGCTGAGCCCTGCACTAAATCACTCGTCTGCCGAGAATTACATAAGTCCGCTCCACTAAGGTGAGAGAGAAATTCATATCTCTGCACGCGCAGTAGCATGTTGCGAATTTCGCTAAACCTTGGATGTCTATTGGATGTTGGGGACAACAACCGTAAATGCCCGGCGTTCACCATAAGGGAGCCACGGTAGGTAAATGAACTCTAATCGGCCTTCTTCCCTCAGACTAACCGTATAAATACGGTGCTGACACGAACATCTCAAGCACAAACCTCAACGAACGCACACAACTTTATGGCATGAAGATATATATTGGAGAGGGCAGGAGCTAAGGCATAGACTTGCTTCACACCAGAGACAACTACAAAGTTATTCGAGGTTTGTCCACTCTGCAGCACCCTCGCCCGCATACCACTGTGCATACATTCAGTTAAACTTTCAAACTTACTCGGACAGTCAAACTTACCTAACATGAGCAACAATGCCTCGCGGTTCATCGTAACAAACGCTTTGGTGCAATCAACAAACAACAAATACAATGACTGGTGTCGTTCTCTGCACTTCTCCTTCAACTGACGAGCTGCAAATACCATATCTATAGTGCTGCGACCCGAGCGGAATTCACCTTACTCTTCCACCACGTTCGCTTCCACAGTTTGACTGACTAGGCGGTTGAGCAAGATTCGGGTATACTTGGCCCACATAACTCAGCAAGTTGATACCACGATCATTCGTGGCCCATTGCTTGCTTCCTTTGCCCTTGTACAGTGGTAGCACAAGAGCATCCTTCAGCTCAGGAGGCACCTGCTCCTCAATCCACACGCGTTGCACCAAGTGGTGCGGCGCATTCACCAACGCGGATCTGCCGTGTTTCAATACTTCAGGCGAGATCCCGTCGGCCCGGCACACTTGCCGTTTCGCAGCTGAGCAGCTGCTCTCTGTGTCTCATTCATTGTCGGCGTGTCCGCCAGACTCACCTTCACATCGTCCTGCTTCAGGCCGTTCGATGTAGGCCAGTCGATCTCTGAACGGTTGTTCAAGAGACAGCCAAAGTGTTTTCGCCAGATCTGCATTATGTCTGCAGTCTGTGTGCTAGTGGCGCCTGAGCTACCATCGAGTAGCATCCTCAGCAGCTCCAACCTCGGTCCATACACCGCCTTTAAGGAGTCAAAGAATTCCTTGTGTTGGCGACGTTCGGCGTAGCATTTCATCTGCGATCCATGCCGGGCACTTCCATTGCTTGTGCAGTTTTTAGAAGTACGTGACATCATTAAGTTTTGAATGTTAGCAATTTCTCTCCTTCAGTTACCTCTCAAGGGCTCTGAACTCACGTTGTTGAAAGGATGCTGGCGGTTTCATCAGCTCGCATAAATGGAATTCCAGCTCGGACATGTCACTTAGCATCACTGTTAAGTGTCGAGGCATAGCAGGTAGTCTCCATCTATTGTCATCCCTCCCAACTGCCTACACGACTCGTTACTCTAACATTTAGGCACCTTCCGCCAGCACGTTTGTTTGAGAATTCGAAAATCCATTTCGCTTCATCGAACTAACTGTTCATTAAATATCATGCAACGGCTGACGCGTTTTCCAACAAGCATACTTCCTCAGCAACAATGCGGTCGTTGCAGCTTATACCCCAACCGAATCCTATCATTTTCCTTTGCCGTTCGATTTTATGGTCTGCTGTTCCGTCAGTGAACTTGTTAGTTCAGCGCTGATTGTACAAACAGCTCACATGGGTCATTGTGCTTAATTCACCTTTGGTGTCAGCTCATGCCATGAATTTGGCTTATCGTGTTACGCCTGTGGTTGTCCCCGCTAGTTTGTCCTCAACAGTTTGCCCTCGCTCTTCGGAGACAGATTTTCCATCCAGCTGTGAGCGAAGGTGAATGCTTTTTAATCTCACTCTGCAAGTGCTCAGCGCCAATATCGGATCAGACTGTCCATGGATTTTTCGACTACCCGGTTTCGCGATATGCGTTGAAGCTGCAACCCGTTATATCACGAGTTATTTGCTAACAGTTGGAGTGGCGCGAAGCTAATGCATGGAGATTTACGGACATGATGGAGGCTAGAAATTTGCATGTAGGGCGCTTCATTACCAAACTTCCCACTAACTATTTGCTCTTTATCTACTTCAACAGCGTGGTTGCTTATCGTTTTTGGATGACGGGACATTATGCGCTGCACTCGCACTATATCATGTGGCTTAGATACCAGTTCACGAGACAGCGAAAAATTCCTCCAACGGTCGTAAAGACCTCTATGTTTACAACCAAAGGTTCCGCCCACTCCAACTCTCATACGCAGGGTCGGAATAATGGTCCTCTTCGATTTTCGCTCGTTGAGAAAGTGCGTTGATTTAAACATTTGGTGCCTACCGTAGGTGACTAGTGGATCACAATGGTGGCAACAACACTTTTATCTTGGACTTGACGGGGTATGGCGTATTCAATGGTTGACATCTTAACCGTGTATTTATGGGGTCGCCGAATCAACTTATACTTACTCCAGGGATTGAACCAACACACAGCGGACCGACACTGTTCAAGTTGATGCACTTTCGGCTTTCAAATTCAACTTCTCCAGTATGTAAGTATTCCTGCAATCCGGTGTTTCTGAAACGCTGTTGCACACTTCTTCCCATGTCCTTTCTTAACTTGTGGTCTATGGAGCAAGTTACTTTGGCCTTTTTACTTGCACTGCGCACAGCCACGCTCACGTTTCGTTTGCATGTCTTGTTCGATCAAACGATTCCTCCGGTACTGTGGTGTATTCGATGTTTTTCGCTACAGTGCATTTAAACCTTCTGCTGCTGCTGCTGTTCTATCCATTGCCAATGATAATTCTCGTTACCGCTTACATTTCAGAACACTAGCACGCTGCAGTGTTCTATCATCGTGTGCTTCACATCTTGTTGGCTGTTTCACTGATATTTTTCAACCGCGCACTGGTCATTCATTTTCGCCTACTCACTCAACTCCCTCTGGCCATGTTCTTTCATTCTCAGGGCAAACTGTGGATTCACGTGACTTAGAACAAACCCGATCCGGCCGATGGGTAATACCTCGGCTCGATAGGCGCTACGCACAATCAATTCATATCAGCAAAAATGGTGTGGCTAGAATCCTGCACGAAACACCCGGTCGATCCTAAACATATTCAACTGATTTCATGTTCAGATGCTCCTATTTTTGTGTACACTCCCATAAATAAAAGCAGTGTTGCGCCAACTTGTTGTCATAATTTAATTCACAGCTTTTCAACTGAGCTATCCGTACTTAGAGAGCGGAGTAGTGCTCTTTTGAAGGGAAGTGCCCGCCAGCAAGCATTTGAAAGACGACGGTCATTGAAAGAGTTTGAATCTTGACCCCTTTGTAGGCAGCATATTTCCAAGCCAACATTGTTCGGCAGTAGACGACTTATTTGAAGAGCGATTCTTTAAAAAAGCGTGACGAAACTAATGAGAATAGTGGGAGTGTTATACCTGCCATCTAACGGCTAGCGAATGAACAGCTTACTATTCTCTTGCTACTCACTACGTACATGCGCCTTTCGTAACCACCGGCCTGGCACGATTGTAATGGCAGGACAGCTGTGTAATGCGTAACTCAGTCTCATAGGTCATGAATTCAGCTCCTCTGGATTCGAGTGAAATTCGCTCTACTGATGAGTTCCAATGAAGCGAAACAGCTGCCAACTACTTTTCCAGGTATTTAGTGGCTCTTTGGTTTAATCCGGCTGCGACGGATGTCATTAGAATAGTTTGCATTAGCCCCAAGATGTGGCTCAAGCGTTTGCTTTGAAGCCTCTGCTATCCGAGTTAAATTATGATAGTTTATGCGCCTGAGTTAGCAACAGAGTTCGGGCAGGCATGCACGCGCCCAAGCTTGCAGGGACTCACCTGTGTCGTCTGATCGTGCAGCTCGCACTGACTGGCTATGCACTGTCTCACTTGTCCGACATCCAGTTCATTATATCAAGCTGCGCTGTATTACTCACTGAGTCCTCACCAACCTGACTGACTGCTTGTGTGCTTTCTACCGAGTACGTGCGACCGGTTGAGGAGATTTTGCCAAGCAACTACTGTGCATGTGTTTTCTTTGCTTGACCAGTTTCTACCTTCCGTACTTCTATCACGTTTGCGTTCCTCAGCAAATGATCCTGTCCACAACTCTGTCTTCTCCTATTTGTGGATAGTCGTTAATTGCGCTGTATTGGTTCAAACCATTAAGAATACCACATTTGGCCTCGCAGCAGTTTTTCCGAATAAACATGCCCCTTAACCTTCATACCAGTGGGTTGTGGGAGCGCTAAATAACCCGCAAAAATACGCCTTAAGCTCCAAAGCGTGGGCTGCGCCATGCGGAGTTAAATTCCCTACCGACAACACAGTAGTATCCACCCAGTCCGAATGGGGACGCTACTGGGCCATAGTGGAAAACGTACTATCGTAAACCACGCGCCCTACGTGGTGATTCATTATACCCGCAAAATAAACCATCATGTCAACTGTGATTCGGACTTTGTGGGTCTTGAAAGAACTCTCACAGTTCCGTTTCGTTTTGTCTCATCTTGCGGGCTGATGGGGTCTCGCGTGCGCCCTAGCTGTGTGCTTCCATACCTTTTTTCGCCCAGGTTGTCCCCTCGAACAACAGAATTAGTCTGAACGGCAAAGGAGCTGCGCTGAGGGGCAAACGAGTTGAGTCATTACTCAATTAATTTGAGCCTTGTGTGTGCCGCTCACTAGTGTACACGCGTGTATATAGCCCAGCGCCTTCAGCCATAGGGCCTCAGCGTGTTCACCGTAAGTCATAGGGGTGCAAGTGAGACGCTCCATCTCCTATCTGGTACCGTTTCGGTGGCCGATGCACCATGTGGGCCTGTGTTTCTCGGTCCAAGTAATCGATCCCCATTAATTAGGACGAGATTCGAATTCTGAACGACGATTAGGTTGGAATAACGAGCCACAACCAAACAAGTTTGCCGTGTGATTTTGAACGTGCATTTACGTAAACGCCTTGGTTGCCTTGTATGCGAGTCACTTGATAGAGGTGAAGAGCGTAATAATGAAAGCGTACAAAGAAGGAGACGATTGGAAGCAGGTCGCTTGCATATTGTAGGTGAGGGTAAAAACTTGCCGCAACTGAATGCGGGTGTACGAATCGACAGAACCGGTGGGGCAGCACGAGGAGTCCGTCTAAGAACACTGGGAGAAAGCCACGTCGACTCTCTGCTGGAGTGGGCTTCTGCGCAGCCTACCCTTACCCTTGAATTCCTTCGTTTGTGGTTGAAGGCGGTGTTCGAAATTGCAGTAGGTAGCAACACCGTCTCACGATACTTGGATGGTAGATTGATAACTGTGAAGAAGGTGCACACCATTCCGGAGTCCATGAACACGCTAGAGAACAAAAAGCGACGCAGATCATTCGTTTTGCAACTCATGGATTACAATGTGGAAGAAAGGCAACCGGTGTGGATTGCTGAGACCAACTACAACTTATGATGTGCCCGCACCCGTGGCCGCTCACGAGGTGGCAGTCGAGCATAGTGTACAGTGGCGAACAGCCGGTGACCGAATGTTCATCTTGTCGGTGCCCTGACAAACGACGGTTTGATAGCGTGTTCGGTTTTGAGAGGAAGTTACGACAATCAAAGGTGCGCTCGGTGGCTGCGACAATTGCTTGATACCAACGGAGCTGGGTTTGTGGAAAGGTGCCTTTTTATTTGCGACAACGCACTGTCATAAGCACCTCAAACACGTTTTCCTGGAGGAACCATACCGCTCTGGGAGACTTCTACGCCTTGCGCCATACTCTCCACCACTAAACGCCTTCGAGGGCATCTGAGGTATAATAAAGGCTAATGTAAAACAGACAATGAGAGGACGGTAATCCGAGATGCCCCTGGGGGAACCTGAAGGCGTTCTGAGTAAAAGCGAGTGGCGGATTCACTTTTGGGAGCACGCGATGTTGGAAGTACAGACCTTAGTGACGCAGCAGCACTGCAAACAAATGCTCCAACATCTCAGTAAAAATTATGGATTTGTGGTTCTTTTGGCCGATCTGTAAAACAATCCGCTGGCAGTAAACTACCTGTTTTAAATGAGTGTTGTTCTTACTTTATTATGATGACGGGTCAGAGTGCACATTATACGCGGCTAGAAGTAGCCGGTTCTCCATTTGGGGGAACATCGTGGAGTTTCGGGAAGATGGTGCGCGTAGTCGCGTCGCATATTCGTTTTAGTTAGCACGTTGTAGAACAAACATTCGAGAGCTTGCCAAATAGTTGCAAGTAAGTAAGTGTTACCGCCTGTCGTTGTTGGTGTTTATAGAACCAGGGAATAAGGGTTTTGATAAAGGCATATTAATAATAACGTTGAACTATGCAGACTGGACTGGGATGGGTTGTGTGTGTGGCTGTTGGCCGGATTGCCTAACCGGTTACGCCAACACAAGCGGCTAGACGCTGTTTGGTCTCTTGAGCGCATGATCAACGTGGGAAACCAGCGCAACTAGCGAAAGCAAAGCTTACTTTTAGCACGATTTCTTGGGAAATATTTCCAGTTGGCTATTTGTTCGCTTCGGACTGTATTCCAACACAATAAGTTTACGCTGAGAAGGTGCTTTGAAGCGACAGATAAAATGTACTTGCTTCGGTAAATAACATTTACTCGTCAGGTTGTAACGCCTGCACAGGGAAAATGATTCCGCATGACGCAAACCAGTCTGTATGTTCATATGCTATTTGCCAAATCACCGATGGGAGTGGCTATTTAGCTCCACACCAATTCTACGTGGGTAAATGATGCAGTTATGGCCGGACATCTACTACAACCTTATTTCGTGCGTGTTTTCGTCGTACATCCACACATCTCAGGCTCCGTCCTCCATTGCCAGCTGTGACCACACCGTGCAGCTCACCACGAGATATTAATCAGACGCACTCTCCATCCACCTCCGACTCTTATTAGGTGGTTGCTATGAAACTGTCAAGCCGCCTACCAAATATCTGTTCTGCTTTTCAGCTCCCTAAGTCATTGACTACCCAATGTACGCCCGGACACGAAAGCCCTGAATACCCTCGACACGACGCATATTACGCTGGGCGAGCGATTCGTCGAAACTTAGTTCCAGAGTTGTTCGCGTGAAAAGGAGCGGTTACATTACGGCCTTAAATGCAATCGGCTAAAATTTCCCCTGGTTTACTGGCACACATTTAGTCAAGCGCTCTTCATCAGGAACGTCATGTACGTCGTTGTTAACTTGGTGATGCAGCTCAGGTCTAAGCGGACAAGTTGTGGGTTGAATATTTTCACGTTACTCTGTATGGCCATCAACGCAGTTGCACCATGTGTCACACTTGAGCAAACGTTCTTCCCAGTGAGCATCTTATTTGTCCCATATTGGTCACTTTAACAACATTGACCTCAGTGTCCCAAGTGCACAGTAGTTTTCGTCGAAAAATATTGTGCACTTTACCGAGCGTGTGTCCTTCACGCGCCTATGCTGCCCTCAACCAGAGGGATAATTTTACCCCGCCACGAGCGGAAAAATTAGTTTCAATGCCACCGATCGCATGGACTGTTGGGTTTAAACACAGGTGGACAGCAATACTCCTCCGACCCCTTTGGGAGTAATATCAAGCTACAGCGAACCACCGTTAGAGTGCAAGACTTAATTTGGGTGCACATCACAGATATCAATAGATCTGTGTCTGGGACATTCAAGATGATCGGACTTTTGCGATCTGTTTATACGTTGGTGTATGTCGGCGGCTATACTATTACCTTAATAGTATGCTATATTTACGGCGGAGAGCGATTAGGAAACGCCTCTGTCTTGTATTGTTTCAGCCGCTGGAAATGAGACATGTTACTTTCAGCATGAGCAGCTCAGGCTGTATCTCCGATAGTGTACCAATCATCTCGGAAACAATGTGGGCTGTTTCGACACTACGTTGCTTCGCACAACTGGATGAATTCATCTATTGGGATACTACTTGCTTCGACATGACATTTTCGAATGACAAATTTCCATTTATATGGGGATTATGGGAGCCATAAGGACAGCATTTATTTCATTTGCGACAATGTTGCTAAAATAAGCTAAGGCATCTGACTCCTGCAACGTTTTCCGTCAGTGAAACATGGTGGCAAGGTTAGTATGGTGGTTGAACATGTTCTTGGAATTTCCTTTATAGAACTTTAATTACAGTAAGCCTTATGTACA